ATCCCCAAAATCCACCCCAAAATCCACAAATTTCAGCCCATTTTGCTCCCAATTTCACACGAAACACTCCTGATTTTGCCCAAAATCCTCAGATTTCAACCCAAAATCCCAAATTTTTTTGGGAATTTCGCTCAGACCCTCGGATATGATTTGGGTGGGGTTGTAGGATGAGTTCCCACCCCAAATCCCCGAATTCCACCCCAAATCCCCCAAAACTGAGCTGATATCACCCAAAAATCGCCCGATTTTAATCCCGATTTTGCCCAAAATCCGCAGATTTCACCCCAAAATCCCAAATATTTTTGGGAATTTCGCTCAGATTCCCGGATGTGATTTGGGTCGGGTTGTAGCACAACTGTTCTGACCCCAAATCCCCGAATTCTACCCCAAAATCCCCCCAAAATCCCCCCAAAATCCCCCAAAATTGACCAATTTCACTCAGAACGCTCCAAATTTTGCCCAAAATCCACAGATTTCACCCCAAAATCCCAAATATTTTTGGGAATTTCGCTCAGATCCCAGGATGTGATTTGGGGGATGTTGTAGGATGACTGTTCCCACCCCAAATCCCCAAAATCCACCCCAAAATCCACCCCAAAACTGAGCTGATATCACCCAAAAATCGCCCGATTTTAATCCCGATTTTGCCCAAAATCCTCAGATTTCACCCCAAAATCCCCGTTTTTTTTGGGAATTTCGCTCAGATCCCAGGATATGATTTTGGAGGGGTTCTAAAATGACTGTTCCCACCCCAAATCTCCGAATTCCACCCCAAATTCCCCAAAACTGAGCTGATATCACCCAAAAATCGCCCGAATTTAACCCCGATTTTGCCCAAAATCGGCAGATTTCACCCCAAAATCCCAATATTTTTTGGGAATGTCACTCACATCCCCAGGAGTTGTACTGGTCCTGCTGGCTGTAGCTCAGGGCAGGTTGTACGACGACTGTTCCCACCCCAAAATCCCCCAATTTCACTCCCAATTTCATTCCAAACACTCCCAATTTTGCCCAAAATCGGCAGATTTCACCCCAAAATCACAATTTTTTTGGGACTGTCACTCACATCCCCCACAGCTGTACAGGCCCTGCTGGCTGTAGCTCAGGGCAGGTTGTACAACGACTGTTCCCACCCCAAATCCCCCAATTTCACCCAATTTCACTCCCAATTTCACTCCAAACACTCCCAATTTTAACCAAAATCCCCACATTTCACCCCAAAATCCCAAATTTTTTTGGGACTGTCACTCACATCCCCCACAGCTGTACTGGCCCTGCTGGCTGTAGCTCAGGGCAGGTTGTACAACGACGGTTCCCACCCCAAAATCCCCCAATTTCACTCCCAATTTCATTCCAAACACTCCCAATTTTGCCTAAAATCGGCAGATTTCACCCCAAAATCCCAATATTTTTTGGGAATGTCACTCACATCCGCCGGAGCTGTACAGGCCCTGCTGCCTGTAGCTCAGGGCAGGTTGTACAACGACTGTTCCCACCCCAAATCCCCCAATTTCACTCCCAATTTCACTCAAAAACTCCCAATTTTGCCCAAAATCTGCACATTTCACCCCAAAATCCCAATATTTTTTGGGACTGTCACTCACATCTCCCACAGCTGTACAGGCCCTGCAGGCTGTAGCTCAGGGCAGGTTGTACAACGACTGTTCCCACCCCAAATCTCACAAAATTCAGCCGGTTTTGCCCAAAATCGGCACATTTCACCCCAAAATCCCAATTTTTTTTGGGAATGTCACTCACATCCGCCGGAGCTGTACTGGCCCTGCTGGCTGTAGCTCGGAGGGGGGTTGTAGGAGGACTGTTGTCCATAGCTCTGCTGGTTGTAGCCCCCGCTCTGCTGTTGGTTGTAGCCCCCGCTCGGGGCCTGCCCGTAGCTGGAGCTGCCGGAGCCGCTGCCGTAACTGGGGGGAAAAAAGGGAATTTTAGGAAAAATGGGAATTTGGGGAGAAAAAATGGGAATTGGGGAAAAAAAAAACAAGGGGAAGGGGAGGGGGGAGCACAGCAACAGGGGGGAGTGGCAGAAAAAATGTGGAATTTCAAACACAGCTGGAATTTGACTGGAAAACAGCTGGAATTTCACCCAAAAATAACCAGAACTTCACCCAAAAAACAGCTGGAATTTCACCCAAAAAACCAGCTGGAATTACACCCCAAAAACAGCTGGAATTACACCCCAGAAACAGCTGGAATTTCACCCCAAAACAGCCGGAATTTCACCCAAAAACAGCTGGAATTTCACCTCAAAACAGCTGGAAATTCACCCAAAAAACAGCTGGAATTTCACCCAAAAAACCAGCTGGAATTACACCCCAAAAACAGCTGGAATTACACCCCAGAAACAGCTGGAATTTCACCCCAAAACAGGGGGAATTTCACAAAAAAAACAGCTGGAATTTCACCCCAAAAGAGCTGGAATTTCAACCCAAAAACAGCCAGAATTTCACCCCACAACAGTGGGAATTTCACCAAAAAACAGCTGGAATTTCACCCCAAAAACAGCTGCAATTTCACCCAAAAAACAGCTGGAATCTCACCCCAAAACAACCGGAATTTCACCCCAAAAACACCTGGAATGTCACCCCAAAACAGCTGGAATTTCACCCCAAAACAGCAACAATTTCACCAAAAAACAGCTGGAATTACACCCCAGAAACAGCTAGAATTTCACCCCAAAACCAGCTGGAATTTCACCCAAAACCAGCCGGAATTTCACCCCACAAACAGCCGGAATTTCACCCCACAACAGCTGCAAAGTCACCCCACAACAGCTGCAACGTCACCCCACAACAGTGGGAATTTCACCAAAAAACAGCTGGAATTTCACCCAAAAAAACACCTGGAATTCACCCCAAAAATAACCAGAATTTCACCCATGAGCAGCCAGGGTGGGAGGAGCTCTGCGGTCACCGGCAGTGACTGGGCTGGGGTTTGCTGTTAACACTTTGGGGTTCAGCTCAACAATAACAGTCAATAACTACTAATTAACAATTAATTAGTTAATTAATCACCTCCCAGAGGCCGAGGCAGCTGCGGGGGGCTGGGAGTAGCCGGGGTAGGAGGAGGTCTGGCCGTAGCTGCCCTGCGAGCTCTGCCCGGAGCCGAAACCGCCGGAGCCGTAGGAGGGAGGAGCCGCCGGCGCCGAATAACCTGGGGGAATAATTAATTAACCATTAATTAACAATTAATTAACAATGGGTTAGAAAATGGGGGGGGAACAGGGAAATTGGGGTGGAAAATAGGGAAAAAAGCAGGGGAAATTGGGAAAAACAGGAAAAAAAACCACTGGAATTGAGAAATTTGAGGGGAAAACAAAATTGGAAAATAATTAAGGGTTAATTAATAGTAATTAATGATTTATTTACAATTGGGGAAAAAAGGGGAAATTGGAAAATAATTAAGAATTAATCGGGGGTTTCAGGGCAGGTTTGGGTCAGTTTTGGGTTCAAAGGTGCTGATTTTGGGTCTAATGGGATGCAAGGATGGAATTTTGGGAAATTTTTGGGGATTTTTTTGGGAAATTTTGGGGATTTCTGCCCTCACTCACCGCTCTGGCTCTGCCCAGGCAATTTTGGGGTCAGCTTTGAGGATTTCAGGAGATATTTTGGGCTCAGTTTTGGGTCCAAAGGGATACAAGGACGGGGATTTTTAGGAATTTTTTGGGAATTTTTTGGGGAATTTTGGGGATTTCTGCCCTCACTCACCGCTCTGGCTCTGCCCAGGCAATTTTGGGGTCAGCTTTGAGGATTTCAGGAGATATTTTGGGCTCAGTTTTGGGTCCAAAGGGATACAAGGACGGGGATTTTTAGGAATTTTTTGGGAATTTTTTGGGGAATTTTGGGGATTTCTGCCCACGCTCGCCGCTCTAACCCTGCCCAGGCACTTCCAGGATCAGTTCTGGCCTCAATTTTGGGTCCCAAACTGCTGATTTTGGGGGCAGTGAGATACAAGGATGAGGATTTTGGGGATTTTACGGGAATTTTTTTTGGAATTTTGGGATTTTTTTCAAGATTGGGAATTGGAATCAAAAGGAGGCAAAGTTCAACGGAAAACGCAAGGAACGGACCCAAAACCAGCTGGAATTCGACCAAAATCAATAATTAATCAAGAATTAATTAATGAACGAGCTGGCAGACACAGAGGCAGCTGCGGGGGGCGGGGAGCAGCCAGGGTGGGAGGAGCTCTGGGGTCCCTGGCAGGGACTGGGCTGGGGTTTGGGTTAATGACAATGATCAATCACTACTAATTAGCTAATTAACAGTTAATTAATCACCTCCCAGAGACTGAAACAGCTGTGAGCAGCCATGGTGGGAGGAGCTCTGGGGTCCCTGGCAGGGACTGGGTTGGGGTTTGGCGTTAACACTTTGGGGTTATGTTAACAATAACAGTCAATAACTACTAATTAACAATTAATTAGTTAATTAATCACCTCCCAGAGGCCTAGGCAGCTGTGAGCAACCAGGGTCCGAGTCCGAGCTCTGCCCGTAGCCCCCGTAGCTCTGCTGGGAGTAGCTCTGCCCCCCTCCCTGCGAGTAGCTCTGGCTGGGGGGGGCGGGGTAGGCGCCGTAACTGCCGAAAAAAAACCCAAAAAAACCCAAAATTGGGAAAAATCCCGGAGATTTTTAGGCATGGGGAAGGGTGGGGAAGGGGGGGGTTGTACCTTTGTGTCGCCGTCTGGCTGTAATCTGGGGAGGAAAGGGTTAAAATGGAGTTAATCGAGGGGAAAATCGCTTAAATAAATGATTTGCTTAATTAATTATAGAAAGTGTTAAAAGAAAATGGGTGAATCCAGCAGAAATCACTTAAAATAAATCGGTTTTTTAACTGGTTTATTGAATATGGGCAGGAAAGGGTTAAAGATTTGTGGTTAATTAATTAGAAAATCACTTAAGATCAATTTATTCCCCCAAGTTTATTAATTCTGAAAAGGAAAGGGTTAAAAGCTCGTGGTTAATTAATCAGAAATCGTTTAAGGGAAATGGATATTGATTATTTTATTAGGTATTTATTGACTATTAAAACAGCATTTTAATTAGGGAAATGAGGGCAGAATTATCTTACAATTAACACACTTTAATTATGTTATTGGTTGTTAATTAAATATCTTCAAAGTAAGTCTTTAATTTATTAAATACCTGTTAATTATTAACTATTTTTATTATAGAAGTAACACCAAAGTTATCTTACGACCTTCATTAAAATGATTAGCTATTGATTAAGTGACTTTAATTACAAAACAATCTGAAGAATATCTTAAAATAAATCTATTTTTTACGCTAATTAACGCCTTTAATTAAGTCATTTCCCACCACACTAATTACCAACAGCGTGGTTTTAAACACAATCATTCACCTTTTAATTATTTAATTTATTGCTCGTAACAATTAACAAGCTCCTTTTATTACACACAACAAAAATATCTTTAAATTAATTAACCCAAAAAATAATTAACTAATAAATACTTTAAAATCAATTCTTTACATTATTAGCTGTGATTAGGGCGGTTTTAATTAAGAAATAAACACCAAAATAATTCCATTATTGTTAATACCCCTAGTTAATATTCATATCAGTCGCTAATTAATAAAATTATTGCATATTAATATATTTTAATTAGGAAAATTAGCACAAACCCAATATTAAATCCATGTATTTAAAGCGTTTTACACTGATTCTTATAATTAAAACGCTCCCTTAATGATTAATAACACAAATTAATGATTTTAAGGGTATTCCCCCCCAATTTCCATAATTAAAACCCAATCAATACCCAATTACTTATCAATAAATCCATTTTTATTTCTTTATTTCTGTAATTAAAAGCACTTCATTAACCAATAATGAGAAAAACAATCACCCTGTTAAAACCTAAAACCCCCTAATTTTATAAAATACTTCCAATTACAAAAATTTAATTAAAGGACTCAAAATAAATAAAACTTAACGAGCGTAAAAATAACATTTAAGTAAAAAAATCAATTAATTAACGGCATTACTTATTAGCAGGAAGCCTCCAACTACAGAAACAGAATTAGAAGGGTCTTAAAATAAATATATTTTAACAATATAATTAAGTTAATTAAGAGTAATTTTTGGTTTTAGGGCAGAAATAGCGAAATTTTGACACAAAATAAAGGAAAATTTGGGAGTTTCACCCACCCTAAAGCACCAAACCCCTGCTGAAGAGGGAAATTTCCCGCCCAAAAATTAAATTAACGATTTTATCCCCTAAAATTACCGCAAATTTTGATTTTAATTGTAATAAAAGTGAAACTAAAGATGAATTTTATAATTTAAATGTGAAAACGGACGGGAAGCCTTAAAGCCCCCTCAGGCTCAGCACAACGAAAAGGGTCTAAAATTCCGATTTTTACAGCAAATATCCGCTTCAAAAAGCACTCAGAGCTCGAATTTAATTATTTACGTGTCATAAAAAAAAATAAAAATTAAAATAAATTTAATTTAGACAGAAAAAATTCCAAGAAAAAGTTAAAATTCTCCTCAGGCACCACATGACAAAAGGGGGTGTGAAAGCACATGATTGTAACAGCAAAAAGCGTCAAAAACATCACAAAAACAAATAATTAAACCATTTATACACGGAATTTAAAAGGATAAATTTAAACTTTAAATATTTAGATCTTTAAATGAAGGTACAATTTTAAACTCCCCTCAGGCTTTGTCTAACAAAAGACCTGCCCCGGGGGGGGGGAATATTTGGACAGTCTAAAAACCTGCATTTACCATCGAATTTCTCTCAAAAACTGACATAAGCAGCACAATAAAACTCAAATTTAATTATAAAACTTAATATTTCGTTAAAATACGTTTAATTTTCCCTCAGAAATCCTCACCGAAGAGCGCGGAACTGAACCCTCCCCCCCCTCACGACACGGCGGCGATTTCCCCTCACGCAGGGGAGAAACCGCGGGGGGGGGGGGAATTTTTTTTAAGGTCGAAACCGAAATTTTACGGTTTAATTTCTGATGTATTTGAATAAATTTGATTCATTTGATTTGACCGATTTTGATTTCATTTGATTTAACGGAAGGACCCGGATGTGTCACTGCGGCAGCGGCGCCGCGCACGCGCCGCTCGCACAAAATGGCGGCGGTGGCGCAGAGGCAAAACCACAAAATGGCGGGCGGGGGAAAAAGCGGGTCCCGGACCCCCCGAAACACCCCGGAATTAACCCAAAATCTCAACAAATTCCCGGGAATTCCAGCCGAGATTCAAGTTTTTGGGTTAAAATTGGGCGTTTCGGGGTTAATTTTCTTCCCCGCTGCAGGCGTGCAGCATCCGGGCGCGGCGCTTTGTTCGGCCCCCGCCCCATCGGCGATGGTTTTAGCACAAAAATAAGCCAGAAAAGCACCCGAAATAGGCGGTTTGGGCTTAAAACGTAAGTGTTAAAGCGGGAAAATATTAAAAGGATAAAGGAAAACAAATTAAAAACAAAAAATAGACAAGTGAGGCGTGGCGGAAACGGGGCGGCATCAAACCCCACACAGCGCAAATCACACACAGCCCCAGAGCAGCGCTGACGGTGAAAAACCCACAATGAAACAACGCCTTAACTACATCAATTAATGATAAAATAATGACTTCAAAGAGCATTGATTAAAAACAACACAACCAACGCCGTTTTAAGTGCGGCGGCCGCCGGAACCCCCTCAGGTTTCCCCCCCACGGTGCTCCCAGACCGCGCTGGGCGCTGCAGCCCCCGCCCGCCCGCGGGGTCCCCGGGGCAAGGAGGGGTCTGGGGGGTCCCTCCCCGAGGCTCGGGGGTCCCTGCCCGGGTGATAAGGGAGCTGAGGGGGTCCCCACGGCGCCGGTACCGTTGGAGGCCATGGCGGTGCCGCCCGTTCCGCGTCCGCTCCACGTGGCGCCCGCACTGCGCGCCCCGCGCGCCCGCCCGCCCTTTTATAGCCTCGGCCGGCGCGTCCCACCCACCGGCGCGCGAGGGGGGGAGCAGGGGAAGCTCCCCCTGGAGGTGGTACGGTCCTGGCGGGAAAAGGGGGCGGGAGGGCAGAGGGGGCGGGGTAATGGGCGGGGC